CATATTCTTCCAGATGCAGGGTTTTAAACTAACTTGTAGTCCTTGATAGCAGGGATGGGGTAATTGAAAAAAGTAATTGTAATTGACTGTAATTAATTACATTTTTTGAAGTAATTGGAAGTAATTTGTAATTGAACATTTTTTCAATTACTTGTAATTGTAATTTAATTAATTACACTGAAAAAATACCATGTAATTTCAATTACTTTTTCAATTACATTCAATTACTTTATATAATACACATTCATGATTTATTCATGATATATCGTCACCACTACCTCCCCATTTTACTGGTTTTTATTTTATTGTTAAACATATCCTCAATCCTTCAATAATACAAAATCTTAGGTTAATGCTTACAAAAAAAATAAATGATTGGCTTGATAATAATAAACTAGTTTCTTTCTAATCATTATGTAGATTTTGAATTTTTTGATCTATGTTTATAAATATGAATTTTAAACCATCCTTCTTAGGTCTATTCAGCTATGAAACACACATTTATTATATTTCAGTCTTTGTTGTTTGATCAATAATAAAGAAAAAGAAGGTGTGTGTCATTAATTAAGTTCTCTCTTGTTGGGAAGAGATAATTGCCCTCCAGATCACAGCTATAAATTGTAATCAAAACAAATCAACTCCTCTAAAGAGATATTCATTCCATGATTTAGAAGACAAAGCCAATGGAGATAATTATTTCAATTTAAAATGCTCCGCTAGCTTTAGAAAAGAAACACTTTCAATTTGATAATTATTTTAACATCTAAACAGATTTTTATGAATGAATTTTCAATCTGTACAATTCTGATTTATGAAGTAAAATTATTCAACATAAATAGCAATTTAGGATGTTCAGGTTACCTTCAAAGGAAATATATAATTTGAGGGGTAACAGTTGCGACTCATTTCACTCTATTAAAATGCTCACTTTTAATCAAATATCATAAGCCATGCAATTTGTGTACATGTAGGTTTGTGTGGTGGAAACTGCATCAAACTGATCGCGGATAGTTCTTTAAGAGATTCTTATTGTTTTGTAAATAAATGTTATAAATTAAACCAGAGTGATACACAATGCCTATAGCATATTATTTCTTGTACTGTTTGTGCAGAGGCTGATCTTATATACAAATAAATGAAGTTCTGTATATTCATTGACAAGGATTATAAAAATTTTCCAAAAAATTAAAAATGTAATTTGTAATTTAATTAATTACTTTTGCAAAGTAATTGTAATTTAATTAATTACATGTCTTAGAAAGCCTGTAATTTAATTGTAATTTAATTGAAAAAAAAGTCAAAGTAATTGTAATTTAATTAATTACATTTTAAAGTAATTGACCCCATCCCTGCTTGATAGCCATGTGGGCTACTGAATATTGCAATTCTGGGGCCCACATCAAAATTTATTCACCCACAGATTATCACACCTTCTACTGAATATAAAAACAACAACCCCATTTTTCGTTTTTTTTTTATCATGTGCTTCGTGTTTCTTTTCTATCCGTTGTAACATTATGCACGACTTATCTAAATTTGAAGTGGAACTCTTCTGTTTATGAAGATTGATATGATCATTCAATATCATATATAGAGCACACATGGCACGTTTTCATTCACAAATAAGAACAGTACTTTTTCGTTTCTTGGGCTCATTGACCCGTCGATGCCACATTGTGCCCGACACAATCACTAAGACGCTTTATGTATAAGTACTTCTTATGGGTAATTATAAAGCACTTTACTGATTATGAAATTTTTCAAGAGAAAAATACAAAACATTCGGACAAAACTGAAAAACAAATATTTATTATCGTAAATTTTCTAATCGCCATGTGGACAACTTGAACGTAATTTTAAGTTGCCCATATGGAACATTAGTTGCAAATTTCGAGTGGGCGACTGTTAATTTCAAACCCTGAGATGGTGTACTATATGTTTTTATAGGGCTAAAAGCCATGTAAAAGTGGCGAATTAGCTCTACCAAAATTCCACATTTTAATTTATCACTAAAAAAATAACTTTTTTAACAGTAATTAGTGACCCGGATGAAATGGAACTCATGTAAACACTCTTCTTTCAGCAGTGAATTCAAAATATGCTTTTATGTAACCAGGATAGAAGAATTAAGTTGAAAATGAATATATAACGAAAGAAAGTCATATTGACAAAAATGACGAAAATACATAGTTAGTAAACATGACAATTATCCATCATTTTTCAGAATGACGGATTTCAGTCTCATCCCCACTGTTATTTATGGATTGAATTTTTCCCATTTTTATTTTTATGATTTTTAACCCCCATCCCCCCCCCCCCCCCCAAAAAAAAATCAATTTAAATAAATAAAATTATTGGTATGTATGTAAATCACTGCAAGGTTAGCACAATTCTAAAAAAAAATATATGTATATATACAGTCAGGGGTGAGACTGATATCCGTCATTTTTAAAAATGATGGATAATCGTCATGTTTTCTAACTATGTATTTTCGTCATTTTTGTCAATATGACTTACTATCGTCATATTTTCTTTTTCAACATAATTCTTCTATCCTGGTTACATAAAAGCGAAATTTGAATTCACCGCTGCAAGAAGAGTACGTAAGTTTAATTTCATCCGGGTCACTAATTACTGCCTACCACGTGCATTAGAACATCAACATGGAAGGTGAAAGTTTTTATTTTAGCGGTAAAATGTCGAATTTTGGTAGAAATATTGGGCCATTTTTACACTGCTTTTAGCCATATAAAAACATATAGTACACCGTCTGGAAGAATACGTACTTGTAGAGAAAAGTCTCAACAAAAAGTTAAAGCCATAAAAAAGTAGTGCGCCCCGTAAAACAAGTGAGATATTTCAGTGCGCCCAGGCCCTCCATTTTGAAAAAAGACGAAATATCGTCATTTTCGTCTTCTTTGGTTTTTAATGCAAATAAATTGACAAATAACTCTTCCACTCTTATTTTTGCTTGGGAAATTTGTACCGTCAACATAACCAGTCTTGTAGTCAACTGTATTAGAGAAATGAAGTTTGTTTACGATGTTTTTAGTCCTTTTTTCGGTTGGTGGATCTAACATTTTTCAAAGAGAGGTAACTAGGTATTCTAGAAACACTGTAAATTTTTATGACTGTTTTTTGTCATTTTCTTAAAAATGACGAGTTTTAGTCATAATAAAAATTTTATTTTATGACTAAAAATCATCATTTTAAGAATGACGGATTTCAGTCTCACCCCTGACTGATATATTCATTGCACTATTGTTATTTCAAAAAAAAAAAAAAAAAAAAAAATTCATAGGTACCTGGGTCTTGGTTTATAAATATATATGTACCTTATTGATATGTACTCTTTTTTTTTTTTTTTTACATATCAATAAGATACATACATATTTATAAACCAAGACCCAAATACCTGTGGCCTGTTTTACTATAGAACAATTACATGCGACTAAGATCAAAAACTTCATAAAATTTTGCACAATCAATGATTCTAAATGAAATTATATTTTGGTCTTCGTTATAAGTTCTTTTGTAAAATGGTAGCTGACTCTGAATAACCACACGACACAAACATGCACAATGGCCAGTGGCAGGCCCCAGTTTATCCTATTCTCCACGTTTGCTATCGTATCTTTGAAAAGCACAATAGACGACAAAATACAAAAGTTCTTGGGATATATAAGTTCTTAAGGAGATAATTTAGCAAATTAATGAGGAAAATACGTACTATAAAGTTCTGTAAATATTGAATAAAATTCTTCCTTGCTGATAGTGATACAAACGACCTTCACCTTCGAATTTTTGGTAAGTCGTACGTTTACTAATCGTATTCGTGTGGTAATTTTCACTGCAAATCTCTGAAATAGAGGATTTTTTCTCATTTCTCTTTAAAAAAATAGTTTAATCTTATTTTTAATTGCATGTCGGAGACTTCAGACATAAATAATTTTATTGTCTTGGGGACAAATGTACACTTTATAGAACTGGAAAATCCAGCAAAACTTGGCAAGGAAAATTTTTAAAATCAAGCAAAACTTGGCAAGGAAATTTTTTAAAATCAAGCAAAACTTGGCAAGGAAGTTTCAGTCAGGGAGAGGGAAGGGACCAAGCCAAAATTCCTTTTAAAGCAAAAAAAAGGGGGGATGGTCATCAGACGTTACTATTGAGGGGAACACGCATAAAGTAGTTGTTTTCTATAGTATTCTACATATCAACAAAATTAATATTGGAGGAGCCCCCCCCCCCCCCTTTTCCTACAGCCATGAAATCATATATGTGTATATCTGCAGGATTTTTGTTAAACATTGATATCTATTACCTGAGTGAAGAAACCAGAAGAATCTTTATTGATGCATTCAAAATTACAAATGTTATATGATCATACATTTTTTTACATGTAGGAGCAGAGATCAACATATAAAACCATGCACAAGTTTTATATATCTCTGGTAAGAATAATTAAATTTATACATCAGACTAAATCACTGAAGGGGCGCAGTTTACACACTATCAGTGACGTACAGTGGAAAACTTGAATATAGTTCAGTACAATGGCTTGATACATAAAAATCATAAGTTAATATTTTATGAGGGGGGGGGGGGTCCCTTTGAGTTTGCATTTTTGAATTTCATTCCCAGTACTATATATACCAGGTATTTTAACATATAGGAATTTTGCATCATTTTTTCCTATAGTGGAATACTATAAAGCACTTTTTATTTGCAATAACATTATTTTCGCATTATGCTAGTTTTTCTGCTCCCCAAAATTTCATTCTCATGTATATTTATATGGTAAAGGATTAAATAATTTAAAAGCAATAACTAAATTTTTTGAAAATTCTGTCGCGATTATAAATGCCAAATAACTTTATTGCAAAAAATATAATTAAGGTGTGGGGAAAAGTTTGTGATCCACAGTACTTGAAAATAAAGAAAACACAGAGAGGGAGAGAGATATATATGCATATTACAACATTTCCTCATAACAAAACTGGTTTTAACATTTAATGCATTTATTTGTACATTAAATTAAATCAATGTTGACAAAATATTATGTCCTTATTGATTTTTTTTTTCATATCAAAATATAACACTTTTTCTAATCATTTCATTCAAATTTTTGAAATCTAAAATGATGTGAATGTCTTGAGATAGACAATCAACCAAAACACAAAATAAATCCCCAAAATTTTTAGCATTTTCATCCTGTGCACCAAAGAATAAATCCTTTTATGGCACTCAAAACCACAAGTGATATATATTGTACAAAATTTAATACATGTACACATATTAGTTAACATAAGCTGTAATTAACAGTTTAAAAATATTCACATAGAATAAAACTGGCAAATCACGTATAATACATGGCAAGCATGACTCAATAACTAGAACATATTACTCTTTGGAATGCAAACCATTCACAGCCCTTGCTGAGATAAAAGCTAAATACAGTCATTATACTGTACACTACATCAGAATTTAATACTATCAGAACTTGGTGAAAACTGTAAAAGTAATTAAAACTCAGTAAAAATGTAAATCTAAAAGGTCAGTTTTTGTTAAAAAGGATGAATGTGTATTGCACTGTATTATTGACTTAGAAAGAAACTTTGAGGTACATGTATTAAAGATTAATTACTAGTCTACAGTCAGCTAAAATGACATATTTGTACAAAAAGGTAATAATGTAATTATTCCAAAATCTTTGGATTTCTATCCCAAAACACAGCTAGTCTAAATATTTCTGTTTTGATCCTGACAAAGAAGTTTAAAAAAAAAAAAAAAACGCTTATAGCCAAGTGCTTCATTATAAACATAATTCGTTAAATCCATTAATTTCAGGATATTTTTCATGTGTGTTTTTTGGCTATCACTTTGCTGTAAGCATAAATTTGTTATAAGAAGGTTCATTATGAGCATGTTTTACTGTGCTATAAAGAAACAAAAAGAAGTGAAGAATCAAACAAAGCATGAATTTCAAAATCATCACTCAATTCTGGATTAAAACTGTATCTTTACATATATTACAAAACAACCATCTATAAATGCAGGAAACAGCAAAATGTTTAACAAGTAACAATATATATCAAAAAATACACCTCTAATAGCCAGTGTGATCTCAAGGAGATTTACAAGGACTAACCTTCTTAACATGATATTGATTTTTCAAAGGTAACTAAATATTATCCCACTATTTATGGTGAAAATGATGATGCTATAATAAATAAATAATAGTATGAAAAATGGACATTTGTTTTGTAAGTATATTACTAAAAACTTCACTAACACTTACAGTCACAAATCCTAATAAGTATGGTAATGATATAAATAAGATGACGGTAGAGGTAAGTAATATTGTATAAACGTCATTCACATTCCCCCTCAACGAATCCTCTTTTACTGAACACATCAATGTAATAATTCCCTCCGTTCATGATCAGCACAGCAGACATAACACCAAGGAATATACAGTGGGCCACGTAAAAGTTATACCAGATAAAGACGCCCGCTAGACTGACAATACAGAACAACCAGTTAAAGAAGTAAAACATGAAGGGACGGCACCTGAAACACAAAGAAAACGACACTATAGTCATTTAATACTGGAACATTTTAGTTCATCAAATAAAACGGCATACACATGTACTTTCAAATTATAGATTGAAATGTTACTTATAACTATGTAACTTTGCATGAATATGAATTGAACATAAAATGCAGAAAAGGCAGAATTTTTTCTTTCTTATTCTTTCAAAATTAAAAAAAAATATTTCACTTTAGAATTAATATTACCTGTCCCCACAAATATTGAATGTTTTGTACAGGCAGCTTTCCTGCTTTTTTCCAAGATAATTAAAACTTGTGACATACTCCTCACTAGGTTTAGCCACGATATGGATGACCAGAAAATAAATTCCCTGTTAATAAAAATATATAGTCATTTTATAGCAATACATAGAGAAATGAAATTGAAATCAGAGCATAATGGATACTAGTACTATAATACATGTATGTGTAATGTATTTGTGCAAAAGTTATTTTAGACTAGGTTTAATAATACAATACAATAAAAGTGCAATTCAAATGATTAGGCTAAAAGATGAATTTTCTAAATAATTTATCAGGAAAGAAGAAAATGTTTAGCTGGACCGGAAATCTCACCCTGGACCCCACATCACTAGTCAGGTGCTCTACCAACTGAGCTACCCAGGCTGATATCCATGGCCCAAACCATTACATTCCTCCCTCCTTAAATTGTCTTCACCCTCATAGACACAACCCAAGCTCTTATTTGCACCTGGCAGGACTTTCACCTGCAAGTCCAGGGGTGGTCAATGACACCAAATTATGTAAAGAAGTAGAAAAGAAGAGAAGAAAAGGTATGACTGGACCAGGAATTGAACCTGGGCTTCTAACATCGATATCTTGAATACCATGGATGTGTCAAAGTCATTTGGAGATCCTGGAACTTTTCTTAAGTCAACAATATCATAAGCCTTACTGTATGTGCAAAGTGTGGTACTATGAGTGAACGTAAGAACGATCAAGTTTACATACACTGTGAATGAAGAAGCAAGCAAATGGCACCAGCAGTAACCAGATAGGGGATTCCTCTGACATCTCTGGTACAACAAACTCCTGGAACCAGTACTGGGAGACTTCCTCTCTGTACCACCGGATCCTGTATGGAATTTTAAGACAAGAGGCCCATGGGCCTTGAATCGCTCTTCTGATAAACTGTGCAACCTATCACTTCTATTTGAACCCTCGAGGTATCCTGTATATTTAGATAAACCCTTGAAATTCCAATTCACACTCTGAGAACCCAAGATGATTCTAAGCCAATTAGTACCTGAGAGTTGGTCATGGTGACCCACTTATCACTTGTCATTGTCTGAGGACCCATCAACTAAGTTTGATGATTCTAAGCCAATTAATACCTAAAATATTTTTTAAAATTATAACCATAAAATTTTATAAGTAGGTCAAAGTGACCTACTTTTCAATTGTTGTACTCCAAGGACCCAAGATGCATCAATTGACAAAGTTTGATGATTTTAAGCCAATTAGTACCTGAAATATTTAATTAAAGCCATAAATTTTCAAAAGTAGGTCACCGTGACCTACTTTTCAGTTGCTGTACTCCGAGGACCAAAGATACATCGACTGACAAAGTTTGATGATTCGAAGCCAATAAGTACCCAAAATATTAAATTAAAGCCATAAATTTTCAAAAGTAGGTCACAGTGACCTACTTTTCAGTCAATCTACTCCCAGGACCAAAGATGCATCAACTGACAAATTTTGACGATTCTAAGCCAAATAATTCCTGAAAATATTAAATACAGCCATAAAATTTCAAAAGTAGGTCACCGTGACCTACTTTTCAGTTGTCGTTCTCCAAGGACCCAAGATGCATCAACTGACAAAGTTTGATGATTCTAAGCCAAAAAGTACCCAAAATATTTAATTAAAGCCATAAATTTTCAAAAGTAGGTCACCATGACCTACTTTTCAGTTGTTGCACTCCGAGGACCCAAGACACATGAACTGACAAAGTTTTATGATTCTAAGCCAATTAGTACCCGAAATATTTAATTAAAGCCATAAATTTTTGCAAGTAGGTCACAGTGACCTACTTTTTAGTCGACGTACTCCGAAGACCCAAAAGTCATCAACTGACAAAGTTTGATGATTCAAAGCCAATTAGTACCCCATATATTTAATTAAAGCCATAAATTTTCAAAAGTAGGTCACTGTGACCTACTTTTTAGTTGACCTACTCCGAAGACCCAAGATGCATCAACTGACAAAGTTTGATGATTCTAAGCCAATTAGTACCTGAAATATTTAATTATAGTCATATAAATTGAAAAGTAGGTCACGATGACCTACTTTTCAGTTGACCTTTTTTGAGGACCCAAGATGCATCAACTTACAAAGTTTTATGATCATAAAACTAAAAATGTCCAAATTATGCTTCTAAAACGCTTTGAAATCGAATGCCTGCAAAGTTCAAAAAGTAGGTCACTGTGACCTACTTTTTAATAAATATGTTTTATGGCCCCAAGATGCATCATCTTACAAGATTTAATGATTCTAAACCTCTCGGTATTCGAATTAATGACCTTAATTGTTTTGAAAAAGATAAGCCATAATATTCAACAAGAGGCCCATGGGCCACAACGCTCACCTGAGTAACTTTGGCCTTGCTGTTTTTCACCCGATTTCCCCCTTGTAATACCTATTGTGGGCCCGCCCTACCCCAGGGGTCATGATTTGTACAATTTAGAATCTGGACTTCCCCAGGAAGTTTCCACATAAGTTTCAGCTTTTCTGGCCCAGTGGTTCTTGAGAAGAAGATTTTTAAAGATTTTTTTCTACATTTTTCAATGTAAAACTTGGATTCCCTATTGTGGCCCCGCCCTACCCCCGGGGGTCATGATTTTAACAATTTAGAATCTACACTACCCCAGGATGCTTCCACATAAGTTTCAGCTTTTCTGGCCCAGTGGTTCTAGAGAAGAAGATTTTTAAAGATATTTTCTAAATATTTCAATGTAAAACTTGGATTCCATTGTGGCCCCGCCCTACCCCCGGGGGTCATGATTTGAACAGCTTAGAATCTACACTACCCAAGGATGCATCCACATAAGTTTCAGCTTTTCTGGCCCAGTGGTTCTTGAGAAGAAGATTTTTAAAGATTTTTTCTACATATTTCAATGTAAAACTTGGATTCCCTATTGTGGCCCCTGCCCTACCCCTGGGGGTCATGATTTGAACAATTTAGAATCTACACTACCCCAGGATGCTTCCACATAAGTTTCAGCTTTTCTGGCCCAGTGGTTCTTGAGAAGAAGATTTTTAAAGATTTTTTTCTACATTTTTCAATGTAAAACTTGGATTCCCTATTGTGGCCCCGCCCTACCCCTGGGGGTCGTGATTTTAACAATTTAGAATCTACACTACCCAAGAATGCTTCCATATAAGTTTCAGGTTTTCTGGCCCAGTGGTTCTTGAGAAGAAGATTTTTAAAGATTTTTTCTACATTTTTCAATGTAAAACTTGGATTCCCTATTGTGGCCCCGCCCTACCCCTGGGGGTCGTGATTTTAATAATTTAGAATCTACACTACCCAAGGATGCTTCCACATAAGTTTCAGCTTTTCTGGCCCAGTGGTTCTTGAGAAGAAGATTTTTAAAGATTTTTTTCTACATTTTTCAATGTAAAACTTGGATTCCCTATTGTGGCCCCGCCCTACCCCCGGGGGTCGTGATTTTAATAATTTAAAATCTACACTACCCCAGGATGCTTCCACATAAGTTTCAGGTTTTCTGGCCCAGTGGTTCTTGAGAAGAAGATTTTTAAAGATTTTTTTCTACATTTTTCAATGTAAAACTTGGATTCCCTATTGTGGCCCCGCCCTACCCCTGGGGGTCGTGATTTTAACAATTTAGAATCTACACTATCCAAGGATGCTTCCACATAAGTTTCAGCTTTTCTGGCCCAGTGGTTCTTGAGAAGAAGATTTTTAAAGATTTTTTCTACATTTTTCAATGTAAAACTTGGATTCCCTATTGTGGCCCCGCCCTACCCCCGGGGGTCGTGATTTTAATAATTTAAAATCTACACTACCCCAGGATGCTTCCACATAAGTTTCAGCTTTTCTGGCCCAGTGGTTCTTGAGAAGAAGATTTTTTAATGACCCCACCCTTTTTTGTCTTTTCTTGATTATCTCCCCTTGGAAGGGGGCTTGGCCCTTTATTTTAACAATTTAAACTCCCCTTCACCCAAGGATGCTTTGTACTAAGTTTGGTCAAAATTGGCCCAGTGGTTCTTGAGAAGAAGTTGAAAATGTGAAAAGTTTACAGACGGACGGACGGACGGACAGACAGACGGACAGACGGACGACGGACAACGGGTGATCAGAAAAGCTCACTTGAGCTTTCAGCTCAGGTGAGCTAAAAAGTAGGTCAAGGTGACCTACTTTTTAGTTGACGTACTTCGAGGACCTAAGATACATAAACTGACAAAGTTTGATGATCATAGGCCTTAAATTGTTCAAAATATGCCTCTAAATCATTTTGAAAAAGAATGGCCGCAAAATTTAAAAAGTAGGTCACCATGACCTACTTTTGAGTCAACATGATATGAGGTCCTTAGATGCATCAACTGACAAGATTTGATGATTCTAGTCCTTATAGTAAGCAAAATATCAACATTTTAATAAAATGTAATTTTTGGTCAACTTTGAAGTGACCTTGAGACCACGCCCTTTGCCCCAGGGTAAATCCCCGTGCAAATTTTAATCTACAACATATCCTCATCCTTTTGTGTAAGTTTGGTGATAATCTGCCCAGTGGTTCTTGAGAAGAAGATTTTTTAGCAACCAGTACTTTTGTTTCTATTTTCCTAATTATCTCCCCTTGTTAAAGGGTCACAACCCCAGTTTTAGTATAAAAGGGAGCCCTTGGGCCAAGGATACCTTGTGACAAATTTGACAATAATTGGCCAAGGGGTTCTTGAGTTATGGCCCATATTCTAAAAAGTTTACGCACACCGCACGCCGCACACCGCACAAATGGCCATAGCATTAGCTCTTTGAGCCTTTGGCTCAGAAGAGCTAAAAATGTAGATATCACTTAGATACTCCATACATACATACCTGGTACATTCAAATGCAGGCAAAAGATGTTACAATCCTTTTTATACATATTTAAATATGATCCTTTAATAACAGTGTTTTTTTTTTTTCAAAGATGAAAAAATAATATATAGTGTCTTAAGATTCATGGTTCCATTATTATCATTTTTTTAAAAAAAAAAACTTTTTGTAGTGCACAATATGAGAAAGACTTGATAAGCTGTTAACATAAAGTATGAAAGTTTAAATGCAGTTAGGCTACAGGGACAAATGATTCATTATAAACATAATTTGTTATTTCCATTAAGTTCTAGATATGTTTTAAAACATACAGGTAGTGCAAATATCACCTCATTATAAGCATAACTTCATTATAAATGTGTTTGCTGTAACCATGTTTTACTGTATTTAGAGTTGGAACCACTAGATATACTAGATATAAACAAATTCACTAAGATATTTCTGAAATGAAATAAATATACACAAACCCAAATGAAAGCAGAGCAGGCAGAATGTGTATGTACGCTGAGGTAACTTTGTCTGTACTGTGGAAGACTAGAGAATTTCTGTACACAACCATGGCCCAAATCAGAGGTCCGTTAGACAGGGCAAAGACAACCGCAAACATCTCCCCACTACCAGGAATCCTACAGGATCAAGTAAAAGTTTGTAATCAATTAACATTGACTGAGTGTTGTAGCAGTAATTTACAATAAGATGAAAGAGTCAAATTGACCTCATGGACAGAGGTATTCAACATTTTTAAAACGGAGTTAATATTGTTTACGATAGTATGAAATAACTGCATAAAAGATTTACTAGTATAAAATTAATTATAAAATATTTCACTATATTACTTTTCTTTGTTTGGAGCTACAAATATATTAAGTTGTTAATTGAAAAAGTATTCTATTATATTGAAGTTTAATACAATATAAGACTTAGAGGCATGCAGGGATGCTCCCTAAATTAGCCCTCTCCTGAAATATGTGACCATTCATTTTTGAGGATCAAAACTGAGTCAGACAAGTTCGTGCTACTTACCAGATAAAAATGTACCACAGGATGTTGGCATAGTAACAGAAGTCCAGTAGAAAATATTGCCACTTGTTCTTGCTGAAAGTACACAGAACATGGAATTACCCAATTCTGAGCCGTCAAATTCCGCTCAAGATTTCGACAACAAAAATTTTATTGCAGCTTTAACAATCAATACTATGGGGGGTTCAAAATATATGTATCTGTAAATTTTGTTTTTAACAATTTTCTGAGAATTCAATAAGTATTGTATTATTTGAGTTTTTTATTTTTATCTACATTGTACTTTATTGAACTGTGTAATTGACAAGATACTAATCGATTATCTGGACTTGACTTACCAGTACATGATAACCCTGATGAGGATAAGTAGGGGGGTACTAACAGCGTAATAGTACGGCAACAACCACTGGGCATACACTGTGGCATGTGTCAAAAATATAATGGTGATCACCGCCAAAACGTACACACACTTCTCGATAATCCGAGACTTCTTCCATTCCTACAACGGAAAATAAATACCGTGTACAAATGGTGTTGTCTCCCTTACACCAATGAGTTAGTCAGTGATGAATGAAATGAATCTGGACAAATATGTTCAGTGGTTTACTTGCCATCAGCAGATATCAAACCATTGTATATATTGTTCATTAAAAGCTTCTAAATCAATTATACACACTTGTAAACTACAAAACAATTTAAGATTTATATCTAACAATTAGTAATTTCTCACAATCTTTTTCCTTCTTCTGCCATGCATATATAAAACAACAGAAAAAGGATTTCTAGCTCATTGTTACTTCATACAAACTAAAAAATTTCACAGAATTATTTTTGACAAAACTTGATGACTGACCAAAACTTTCATTTTAATAGCTGCAGCAACTAAGTTTTGCATGCAGATAAAACCAATAGTTGCACAGCAATGCAAATATGCAAACCCTAATGTAATATCCACTTAGGTAATTGGAACTATACAGGAAAATTGCAAATCCATGTGTCATTTGAATCGAGTAGTACTCAAGTAAATTGCTTTGTGTAGCAATCAATAAACTTTCATTCACAAAAGTATAATATATTGGTAGCACTTCATAATTTAACCTCGAATCATCCGCGATTTACCCTTATCATAAAACTATTTTCATTGCTTCTACAATGTACTTAAATAATCATTTTACAACTTACCTTTTTGCCATTTGTGACAGTTTTACCATTAGAAGATTCTTCTTCAAGTTGTTTATATTGCACAGAACTCTGTACCGATATCTGCACCATGTCCCCCATAGTTAATTATTATAGTACATACCAAACCCAGACACGACAACACATCTACTAGATATTTATCATCTTAAGTTTGTGTCTAATCTACTAATCCTTTAGCACATCATGAAAGAAGTGGTGAAAAGATCATCTCTTTATCTAATAATTCAGGATGTGTACAGTCGTCACCTGATAAAAGCTACTGCAGTACTAAAACACTTTTAGTCAAAGTACTGTATTCGAGTGTCAGTATTTATTGGGTTAAACAGCTGTCCAAAGGAGAGGCTGTTGGTCAAAGTATAAAATCCACCACCCAGTACACAGCTGATGTCAAACAACTTAGTAAACATAACAGTTGATATATTAAATGTCCAAGTAAATAAACAACTATACATGTATAATATTACATAGGGGTTTATAGAATCCAAATATATTGTCTGACTCAATAATTATCATGATTATCCAAAAAATTTACATGCACAGAAAAATGAACAATTTCAAAATAATAAATATCATGCTTTGTAGCATTATTAATTAACCAATGTTTGAGACATAGCAATAATAAATGACAAAGTTTGCATCTATTGATTGACAAACATAAGATGCACAAAATATGACATGTATTTCTACAACCCCCCCCTTGGGCCAGCACCATTTGATTTTCTGGTCTGCTCCTGAATTAGTTTACTCTCATGAATTTAAGTCATTCATATTTGTTAACTTTGATATCGGGATGGAATCATTTATCAAACTCATTAAATATGTGTATATGCGTATAATTTGAGGATTGTTTATCAAGTTACAGGTAAATGCACTATTATCAATACACAGATAAGGTTTAGCCATTTAAGTGCCCTAGAAAAATAGCTTGCACATGTATGACCTAAATAAATATACATGTACTACATATAAATAGAGGTACTGTTCGTACTGAACTCACAAAATGATACCCCCCTCCCCATATGAGTCTATTTTTTTGCTATGAGAAGGCCCAAATATCTGTGCAATCAAAACATAAAGTAGGAGGTGCACAAATGGCACTATGTAATATTACTCAAAGATTCTGGGAAGGCATCTTTAAACTATATTTAGTGGTACAAGAGGAGCTGAGGATAAGAAATGCATAATTATCCCTGTAGTGATATTATCATCTTCCCTAGCCAAGGGTTTCTGATACGCTACTCTTCTCATAAACTTATGAGGAGAGTAGCGTATCAGAAACCCTTGGCTAGCAAAGATGTGATATTATAGAAAGAATGGCAGTGTGTTTGTTTAACTATGGGAAACCTGAAATATGTGTCAAATGAAAAAGTACAAGCTAATTCAGAGAATTTGTGTCCCCCACTTAATGAAAAAAAGAAGAGCATGCACATATCTAAGGGGGGTTGGGAGTTGTCAGAAGTTTGACACTAATTTAAGAAAAGTGAGGTCAAGGTCAAAGGAAAGGTCAAGGTCAAAAATTCTTGATGCAGTTGAAAAGGTTACATCAGTATGTATTGGCATATGACGTTAAACTTTGATAAAAATATCTTGGATAGTTTCTTTGAAACTGAGCTTTGAACAGAGCTACTCTCAAAGTGTGACAGAAGGACAGACGGAAGGACAGAAGGATGGAAGGCAGACATGACAAACTCTATATGCCCCGGCCATATTCATGGCAGGGCATAAAAATGGGGCAGGACACTTTGAGAGGGGTTGGCAGGGCCATAGGGAGTTATGGTATAAAATTTCAAATGTAAAAGCTCAGAAGCTTCTTGAGATATCACCTGGAAACAAAAAGTATTACACACAGACAGAATTTATGAATTTACAACCATGACCTTTTGACATCAAAATCAATAGGGGTCTTTTTTAGGCCATAGGCAGTTGTTATGTAAAATTTCAGTGTGAAAGATTAAAGGCTCTTCAAGATATCACGTGGAAAATACAAATAGACAAACGGACAATGGGTGATCAGAAAAGTTCACTTGAGCTTTCAGCTCAGGTGAGCTAAAGATATATATGGCACACTGAAATTTCTGTGATTTTCAGAAGATTTTGCAATAAATGAATTATTAGCTACAATAATAAAACTGTTATCAATTGAAGCATTCCATGCAAATGACAAATGTAGTATACACATAATAATTCTTATTATAATACATATAGTTATTGATTAATTCTGGTTCTTCATTACAGAAATTGAATCTGTAGACATTCTGTGGATGACTGGAAATCAATTCTACATAAACAGAAATTATGTGTGCTATTTAACACTTATAAGGATATTAAATGACAGGTGAATACATTCTCAAGGTCACAAAAGAGACCAATGCTGCCACCCAGTGTGTTTTCCGTGCCTATACATTAAAACAAGCTTATAGAAAAGTGCCAGGGACAGACAATTTTGATTCGTTATAAACGTAATTCATTTATCCATCAAGTTCACAATACCATACATTTTTAAACCAAAGGGAATGAAAATCACTTCGCTGTAAGCTTGAATTCATTATAAGCTTGTTTGCTGTAACCAATATTGTTTTACTGTATATTTACTGTTTTACTGTATATGTTCAATACATTTTAGAAAAGATTATTGGAGTGCAATTTTTAATACAGAGATAAACATGTTCTTACTACAGTAGTAAATACCACAACCACTGGGACTTACAAGCACAGAATGGATGACCATAAAGATTTGCAATTCATAACGAGTGCATACTAGCATATACTGATGCATTAGAAATACACATTTTTCTTAAATATGAGCAGATGAGTATAATCTGAAAAATCTACCCTTGTCTGATTACAGTGTATACATGTATAAAGGATATATTTTTAATTCAATAAACATGCCAAGTACACTTTGAAACATCTGAATCCAAATAAGTTATGTTGTTACTGAGTTACTGTGGAATCATTTTATATCATGGGGGTCAATGTTCGTGGGCAAGCAAAATTTTGTTTGTTCGAGGGGACATAATTTCGTGGGTTACTCATTTATACGGTGGTCCAATGAATCAATATGTTTACAAAATAAATGTTTGTGGGGATGTAAATTCGTGGGTAAGGGTGACCCAAGAAATCCACGAACATTGGTCCCCCATAAACAATGATGATTCCACCGTAGTTTCTGTGGCAAATCCATGAGGAATATATTCACTTGAAATCAGGGTGATCCCAAAAATCTGTTTAGTACCCTCACCATTTTTCTTTGTATGACGATTTGACAAGAACATTGCACAATATGGTATACTCCAAAATTTAACATTACTAGAAAGAAAAATGATGTCCTTCAAACAGAGAAATTCATTTTCTCCCTTAATCACAGTATCCTCATAGGAAATTGGAGGCAAAATGTTCAAATAAAATGCTCTATGGTACAATATATCTCCTATCACAATGATTACAAATGTTAGCCACAATATTTGTTACAAAAACATATGTTTAACTGGTTAGATGCCTTAACTTTAGCCTGATCAGTTCAAATAGGGATCTGACATTGAAATCAAACAATTCCATATACAGTATTTGGCTTTTCTTTGGATCTTTCAATGTCTTCCACCTTGATCACCTCAAGATCATTTCCAGATAAATTACATTCCACAGTAGTTTCTGTGACATGAAGCAGAAGATGAAAGATTTTCTTTGATAATTATGGTGATCAGTGTACTAATCATGCTTGTACACAAGTATGAGTTACTTTACACATGGTATATGTACACAGGGCCTGGGAAGGGGCTGCGCCATGCGCCATATGCACATACTGTCGAAAAATGGCGCAATGAAATAATGGTCCGCAGTGCCATGCAGCGCACCCCACAAAATGCGGGTATGCATATTTTATTACTTTATAAGTTCATCGCAGTCCACGCTATCTGTATTCTTCATCGAAGTTATACGGAATCTGTGATGTATTACATGTATATAATATAATCAGAATCATCATTCGGCATATTGATATCCACTGGCAAATGAACAGTTTTTTTTTTCATGTCGTTAGATTCGTAGATGGTTGACCACAGCTTTACGAAAGTCACGGACATGGAAAATTTATATACCTTACAATGAAAAACCTTTTCAACGAAGTCCACTTATTTTGGCCTGTTCCGTGATCTCTAAATCGGCATCATTAAAAAATGGTGCTTTTGGTTTTATAAAATATACTTTTTCTAAATTATAGTTGGTAGAATGTAGATGACGATTGACTGATTCAAGTTCTTAGAAACGGAAAAATCATTTGCACTAGTCAATGTCATATGACTTGTAAATTCCTATCGCATTTTTCTTTTTAATTTTCCTAAATTTTGTTGTCAGAGATATATGCATTATCATATAGCATCATACTATGATTTATTTTAGAATGGCCCCAATATATTTCCCCTCGGCCCCTTAAATTTCAAAATGGCCCCATCATTTTATGAACAGTGGGGCCATTGGCCCCACCTGTTGCTTGACCTTCCCAGGCACTGTGTACAAAATGTCCTTGTATCTCTTGTCAAAAAAAAAAAAAAGGATCCATTTTCTCAAAACCCTTTCAGTAAAAATACAGGATCTGCCACTGTATATATAAGTTCTAACAAGATAGTTATAAGGTATTTCTTATACTTACTACTCATTTCAATGTATCTGAAAATTGTATATGTATGTGCAATGAACCTTGCTGTTTTGAAAATTATAACTTTTACTCCCCTCATGGTAAGACAAAAATACAGCACGTAAAACAGAAACTTTTTGCTTGTTAAGGAAGCTAAAAACACTGCAAACTAAAGAGTTCTAATTGTAGGGTAGTTTTATGTAGTTAGAGTGATCTGTCCTTAGGTGAAAGATAGCATTTATTGTCATCTACAGTTAATGACTGATTTGCAATGGATTAAAGTAATCTTAACATTATATTAGACAAAGATAAAGTACCAGAAATTGAATACATTATTAACATGTATAGTAAACAATGTTGATTTCTGTTTCCATATACTTTGCCTTTTAACTTTTTTCCTGGGGCCAATATAGAAGGATTGATGTTAATTGAAAATGTTATGACCTGAATAAACTCAATTATGTACACCTTTGTATGATATAAATTTTCTCAATGTCAATATATATACATATATATATATATATATATATATATATATATATATATATATATATATATATATATATATATATATATATATATATTTTCATCAGAGTTTAGAGCTTCCATAACATGTAATATATGCAGAGAATTTCACGTACCAAGAGAATAGATCTCAGTTTATGCCATTTTCCACTTGAGTTCCTGGCCTCCACCCACTGCTCTGGCTTCACTTGTGGTCTCTCTGCCACTTCAACAGTTACAAATCTATCAAAACCAAATATAATAATACTGTACTTGTGTACTCTCAAAGAGATGTCAGACCCAAGTGGTATATAGATAACCACCCTAGCTCCCCCACCAGCCCCCCCCCCCCCCCCAAAAGGAAATCATTAAACAATATATAAATGTATATAATATCATTGATGATGTCAAAGTCCTGTTACTTTTCACAAGCATAGGCACTTTGATCTTATGCTAAGCAGTAAACAACATATATTAGCATATGTTGATAATCCTCAGTGGCTTCACAGCCCTTTTTTCCCATTTTTGTGAGAGAACAAAAGGCACTACTATCGATTTAAATTAAATCGTAACATATAAAATAATACTTACTTATTAGTGTTTTCTTTTAGTGTATCTCTCATTCTAATTGTATTGTCTTTCAAGGAAAAATTTTACAATAACACCGTAAACACGTTGTTTGACATTTCATCATGTTTGGGTTTACCATAACTCCGTAAGTACATTACATTTGATAGGCCAAAAATCGATAAGCTGTTTTTAGAGTGAATTTGATTGGATTAATTTCTCTCGCGGTTTCTCGCGCGATATTTAATTTGAAAGTAGACAGATCGCGTCATAAACATAATCATAATGGAGGAGATCAAATGCGAGAAGCACAGTTAGTGATTTTTATTATAGCAGTTTTTACTTTTAACGTGATGGACTATTCCATGTTGGATCCAGACTTTTATATAAATTTGCCCTTTTTTGTCGAAGTTAAAGATTCACGTTGATGAACAATGCAAATTAAATGCATTAATATTTTTGTTGAAACGAAAACGAAAATAAAAAAAAAAATCCCCCTGAGTCCTTAAGTATGTTAAACCATGTGCCATTTCTTTAAGATTAATTGTATAAACTAGATCTCCTTTTTTGAACTTCTACACAGAGACATTTAACTAATTGTATGTCTGCTACCAAATAAATGACCATTTGTAATAAAGAAGTAGTTCTGTATCATCTACAGGTCCAGGAAAATCACTATATTTAGCTATATAGCTTAATTTACCTATATAGCTTTATTTACCTATATAATATAGCTTTATTTAGCTATTTTAGAATAAGTTTCTGTTTTATGAAAAGCAAACAAAAAGTCGCATGGAAAATATGGCTGATATTTTTTTAAAAAGGTTTGATAAAAACAACCTAGGGCATAGATAGTAAAAACATTGCCTCTTTTAAACACTTTTTAACCAAAAAATGCATCTCTATTGTTTGGATAGCTGTCCGTTACTGGAAGTGCGATGAGGCATGACTAAGTGTGATTGCCTTGCATTGTGCTGAATTATTACCAATCAATTATCTTGTTGACCAAAACTGCTTTTCTTTGTTAAAGTAGCTGCTTATTCACAGATTAACTGTTATACATAGCCCCAAAACTTTTAGATCTTTGATTGCAACTGCACAAAAGGAGAAACATTTTTAAAAGTGGGTTTTTGGTGAATTGTTTTCAGCCCATTTCAAAGTTGAAAACTAACACTGCCTCATTATGCGACTCTTTGTCTGCTTTTCATAAAACAGAAATTTACTCTGAAATAGCTAAATAAAGCTATATTATATAGGTAAATAAAGCTATATAGGTAGATCTAGCTATATAGCTAAATATAGTGATTTTCCTAGACCTGATCTAGCTGCAGAACTGTAGCCGTATGGTTTTATATTTTAGTCTTTGACCATAACGCATCAGATCCTGTAATGCAAATATTGTTTATTATCATTACAAAGTTGCGTCCTTCTCTTCCGTTGATCAAATTGTCTTCCTAAACAAGAACTGTAAAGCTCATTTGTAATTATTGGTGTATTAATTGATAGTGTCTTCTGTGTTTGTTTGAATCATAAATTAAGCACCAAAAAATCATTTTGGTTGGGCTCAGTGTTTATATACATGTATATGCATTATAAACATTTAAGGTCTCGATAAAATCCACAAACTTTTGCATGTATATACACACTTTTTCCGAGTACCTGGGTGCTCAATCAGAAAATGCCCAAGTAACCGATTATCAAATATTGACCGATTTGACATCCCTAACTATTATCATGATTATGACAAATTTTCAATAGTTTTAATTATTGTCATATGTCAAATAGAAACAAAATCTTATAGTGAAAAAAAAACTTGCATATATGTTTACTACAAAATCTACTTTATTAAAATTTTCTGCACACTAGTTGATACCATGCAGTGAGTATAAAAACACGATTTGTTTCAAGATTTACACAATTTTATGAGTTATGTGATCATAGTCTACATCATTTTCTTATTTAGGTTTTTGTTATGTTATAGTGCTATTACATGTATATGAATACATGTATATAATTTCATTAAAAACAATTCCATCTTTTTTTTAGATGAACTGTGCTTCCTAAAAACCGGATTAAAGGAAGGACCAACAAATGGTGTTAGTTTTTATATCTGCAGCCAATCAGCCACTTGTGGCTTTGTAAAGAAATCTGGGTATGTAAAATATACATGAAAAAATCGGTAAATCCAGTTTTATATTTGTGCTAAATTTGTATAGCATTAGCTAATTACGTGCTAAATTATCAGGTCAGCTTTGCAACTATACAATAAATAGTTCATATGTAAATTACAAGAAAAAAATTATCAACAGAGTTTCAGACTTTTGTGTTAACAGCAAGTGATTAGAATAGGTTGAGACCTGAATTCGGAAATGAAGCCTTGGAGGTAGAGGGAGGGGGGGGGATGTCAACTTAAGCAAATGGTCCCTTGTACTATAGCCTTGTTTATTTTCTTTTTAGACTTCAAAAACTGGAGTGTCCAAAGCATCACACAACTGTAGATCTTCAGTCCATATTCTGCTCAAAGAAAAATGATGAGAAAAGGTAACATGAAATTGGATATAGAAGAATCTATTTGTTATGTGTATAACATTTTACACAGATCAGTGCAAAACAAATCTGTGAATACATATTTCAAGGGATTTTGGTATTTTCAGGCAATATTACAGGTGTTGTAAGAGAGACTCACATGAGAACTGGTGTGGATATTTTAATCTAAGAAAGGTTTGTTAACCATAAATATCATTACCTCTGAGGTATGAATTATTTTTCATGTTCTTGTATTATGAATTTTAGACAGTGAATTCAGTATAATGTAAGAAGAACAGTTTGTTACAGAATTAAATTCCACAAATGTAGTAAATTTCAGTAACATATACATGTATACTTACAACTGGTAATGGTAAATGTTTGTTTACTTGCATACTATTGATCATGTTGATATAAAGAAAGTGATGTGATATGTTTTGTTTCTAAAGGAGTCTGGTAGACCTCTGGGAGACTATAACTACCAAGAGAGAAAGAAGTCAACTGAAAGTAAGGCAAAGGTAATGGCCTCAAGAGAAACAGAAAAGCCATCAAGAAACTCCTCAGCTAAAGTAGACTCGGACAATGTTTCTTCTTGTGTCCAGAGACGTATCTCTGAGGAGGAAACAGAAGGAGGTTTGGCTGAGGAACTGGCCAATCTAAGTATTGAAGAGGGTGTTCAGCAATCAGGAAGTGACCAGTCAGAGACTACAAAGCAGAGAGGAAATAAGTTAAAGTTGAAGAAGACAAGAGATTCAGGTGTGAGGAAAGATGAATCTGCTTTTGAAAAGTATCGTGATCTTTCATCAACCTCTGAATCTGACAGTATAGATAGCTTCGATTCTCCCTGCTCCAAAAGTAACTCTGCTTTTGGGATATCAGACTCTGAACCTAGTCCGACTAATGATGAGAAAAAGAGCCAGTCAGAACTGAAGCAAGCCAGTGAGACAAATGAAACTCCGAGCCATAGACATAAATATGAAGGAATTGGGAGGATCAAAAAGAAGAGCCCCCAGTCCATTTCACAGACTGACTCCTCCCCGGAGCTTCCATTGATACAGAGAATTAGAATGAAGTCGGGAGAACAAGTGACAGCTGGTCGTAAAAGCCCCGTAGAAATTGTCGAGTTGTCCAGTGACGATGAAGAGGAGAATCCAAAGGGTGCGGGCTCTTCCTCAAAGAGGCCAACAAGTCCACAGGACAAACAGACCAGATATGAACCCCCTCCTCATGCCGTGCCAAGGGCAAAGGAACTCAACTCAGCCAGTGAGAATCAACCAGACAAGAGTAGTGTGCCCCTGACTCCTGCCGAGGAGTGGCAGTTACAGTGTGATATAGACTCAAGGAATTCGTTACTTCTGCAATTAAATAGGCAAAAGGTACAAGTTCTAACAGATTACAGAATATTTTCTTATACTTTTAAAAAATGCTTTTTGATAAAAAATATAGAGTCAGTTTTTATAGCCATTTATAAACTGTTTAAGCAATTGTACTGTTGATTTGGAAAAAAACTTGCTACTGCTTTAATGTGGTATCTATGTTTTATAAAAATTTCAGCATGTTATAGCAACTGTCAAAATGTCAAGTTTACCAGATAAAGGGGAAAAACTCCGCAAGCAGGTGGATGATATTGAAAGAACTGTGTCAAAACTAAACAGGAGAATTGCTGATCTGAAATCAAGGTCTAAATCTAAAGGTGAGGAATCATAAACATCGACAAAGATTGGTTTAAAACTCATCACCAGGTCTGGAGTCTTATTTTGTAGGGAAAAAATTGAAGTCATACTGTTGATTTTTAAGCAAATCCAGTCTATGAATTGGCAATGCAAGCCTTTCAAAATCTGCTGATACCCAGTACTTTTTTACCCAACTTTCAGTATAAATCATGATTGTATCAGCCAAAATATTTGATGGATAAAAATTTTATAACATTGAAATAAAATCACTTCCACAAGGTACTTCCTATTTCAGACTTGTCGAAATTTTGAAATCACTGTCAGACATTTGGTCTGACAAAGTCAAATGTTCTGTCGGACCGGACGAAGGTTTGTCAGACCAGATACTTGTACCTTATTTTGACGCTGAGAAAGGAAAATAAATAACACACCAAAATGCCTTTTATTATTTTCAACAGCCTTCAATCTCACAAGTTTCTTTTCTTAGGATAGAGAGTCTTTAATAAGAGACATAAATGACAAATTTTATGTCTTTGCTTTAACTTTTTAATTGACCATCGTTCCCACGCGGACATCTTTCTGTGTTTGTGACCTTCAATTGCGCATCCCGATCCCGACTTTTTTTAAAATTTGCGTCACGCTCGATTTTTTCATTTGGACCGACGTTTTCTTAAAAGTTATCAGTCCAGACAAATTTTTACCGGCCCTGCTGACAGGACCGATGGATTTCGACAAGTCTGCTATTTTTGTAAAAGGAACCACTTGTTTCTAATCTTTTTGGAAGGCCTGGCAATGTGTATGTGGCAACAGTATCACATAATGACAAATTTACCAGTTTTGTTTTGAGTGACTTATTAAAGCAATGTCATCTTCAAGGTTCACCTTTCAGTATCACTTTGAATTTGAACTTTGACCTTTGTCAGTACCTTTTGATATGATCATACATGTACCATCTATAGTTGTTTTTGTTCCATACATGTGTGAATTCTTTTATTCCAGCTCCTGTCAGTATATTACCAAAGCCCTCAGTAACAACGGGTCAGCCCCAAGTGGTCAAGGTTGTCCCTGGAGGACAAGGTCAAACTCAAGGCCAGCCTCAGGTCATCAAAGTTTATTCAGCAGGAGCAGATGGACAGCAAAAACTCATTCATGTTGCTCAGCCAGGTCAGGGGAATGACGACCTTTGAACTCTAAAGTTTATCATAATCAGATAAAATTCTTTTGAAAAAATAAGACCAATTTTCACTAAATTTTAAGGATTTTAGGTGAAGAATGCTTCAGAAAAGATTAATAAGGAAAATAAGAATCAACAAATGAAATAATATGAGTTTGTTTTATATGCAGCATTGTTATAGATGTTTATGTAATGCATGTAGATACATGTATGCTGAAAGAAGCACATATTCATTGTATTAAATTCTTACCAGGGGCCCAAGCTGCACAGAAATCAGGACCCACCAGTAGCTATGTCCCTCACAACCCCCAGGGACTTAAACAGACCAGCATACTGCCTCATGCTACCACCATCCCCCCACATATACTGCAACAATTGTATGCAGGTAATGAGCCTTTCATGCACCATGTATCTCTACATAGAGCCACTCACAACCATTAGATACACACATTAACATTCTCTTCCAAGATTTGCAAAAATCATCTTCAAGAAGGCACTTTTTCTTTGTATCATTTGAATTTATTGTTCCCCTACAAATTCTTTGTCTGATAGTTGCTTCTGGCCTACATGTTGTATTTGAGTGACTTGAGTTAAGTACACCATTTAGGCTTCTGTTCAAATGATTAAAAAGATGTACAGAGCAATGCACAAACAATATATGCAGCAATTTTTTTTTGTTTTTTTGCAGACATCTATTATTTTTTTTTTTTTTTAATTCTCCATTTTTACCCTGATTTAAGAAAAAAAAACCAGCCTGTCAATCTGAATCTCCATTGAGCTTATCACTATGGTCTATGTTCTGAAAATGTGAAGCTTGAATACTATTCAGGCTAATTTGTCATATGTATGGATAATAGCTGGGTAAAATGAGCTTAGGCTTTGAAATTGTTGATAATTTCATTCAGGAAAATGGGCATAAAGTGGCCCCTTACACACCCAGTATATTTTCAATATTTTTTTTAGAATCAGGAGCTGCATCTGACATATATTTTACTCTTGAGTGACCCTGGTTAAGGACAGTGTTTAGGATGTTTCTAGCTTACTACAAGTGATATTCAAGACATGCACACAGTTCAGTTTTCAACTGAAACTTTTATTTGATGAATGCATTAGATGCTGTTCTACATGTACAATTGTACATTTTCAATCTTAATTGACTCGGAGAAAGACTTGATTGAACAATTTCCCAGCTTAACAATTTTAAAATTTACACAGTGCAAATTTTAATGATCTGGTGCATCATTCTGGATCTTTTGGTCTGTGCAATGTTTGAAATGTTCCATGTTTTGATTGTGCTAAGATTTTTCTATTTTTTAACAAATATCAAGATATTTAAAGTCTAAATTTTGACTTAAGTCTATTCTCAGTTTATGGTCTTGAGACATGGATGACAATCAGCATTTGAATTTCTATTATAGCAAACCCTCAGGCCCAGACTCTGTATGGAGGAAGGATGACTGCAGCTAGATTGAGAGAGGTAGGAAGTGTAACCAAGGAAGCCATCGAAAAATTACACAAGTGAGTTACTGAAATAGTCCACAGCTAGAAATGTAATTCTTGAGACAATGCTGCAAAAGCTGGAGTCAGTTGTAATCCTGAAATCTTTTATCAGTCACTTTGAATTTTATGAGATAGTTGAGGTAGAAAATTAATCAAGGAATGTTTACATAATGAACAGTTATCTTTTATGTACAGACAACTAGAGACCTGTCCTGATTCTAGTACAGAGGTGGAGGACCCTAAAGGGCTGAAGGTGTCACTGATGACTCACCAAAGACAGGCTCTGGCCTGGCTTACCTGGAGGGAGGGGCAGCACCCACCAGGGGGAATCCTAGGTAAGGGGTGAAAACCCACCAAATGGGGGGGCAACACCTATCGGGGGAATCCTTGGTAAGTGGTGAAAACCCTTGAAATGGGGGGGGGGGGGTGGGCAACACCCAACAGGGGGAATCCTAGGTAAGGGGTGAAAACCCAACAAATAAGGAGGGGGACACCCACCAGGGGGAAACCTGGGCAGTTGGTGAAAACCCACCAAATAAAGGACAGGGGCAACACCCACCAGGGGGAATCCTATATGTAAATAGTGAAAACTTTCAAAATAAGGAAGACAACTCGCACTAGATAGGGTCCTAGGTAAATTCTTAAAGCTCACCACATACAGGCACTAACTGGTTCACTTCACACAACTGCAGTGGGCTGGTTAGGGGAACCTGAGTGTATGTGAACTTTCCTCTGAAAATTATATGAACTTTCGTATTGATGATTTTAGGTTATCTTTTCGTGAGAAGATTGGGTTTTTTTATTTCAATGAACCACAAATTTCAAAATTTCAGCCAAAAAAAAAATATATGAAGATTATTTGCACAGCAAAGATATTCTTTTTGTTTGTAGATGAACACATTATTTTTCAGCTGATGACATGGGGTTGGGTAAGACCCTGACAATGATATCATTAGTGCTAAAACAGAAACAACTCAAACCAAAAGAGGAGGAAGATGATTGGTTAAACAGAGATAAACAGCTGGAAAAAGGTCAGGGGTCAAAGAGTTATTCTTTTTAAGGGGTGGTAAAATAATTTTATCAAGAAGTATGCAGATTATCTGTGTTTAAAACAGAATTTTCAATACTTTAAACCTTCAAGAAAAGAAAAAAAAACTCTCATTCTTGTACATGTATTGACATTATTTTCCTCCATATCTTTCAGTGGGAAAGAACATCATTAAGTCTAGAGCCACATTAATTATCTGTCCTGCCTCATTAATTCACCACTGGCACAAAGAAATCGAGAGAAGGGTTAAAGGGAAGAGATTGCAGGTTCTGATGTATCACGGACAGAACAGGGAAAAAGATGTACTTAGGTACATTGTAATAATGGTCTTACTCTCTTTGTACAGTAAACAATTACAGCAAATGTACTTATAATGAATTCATGCCTGTAGCAAAGTGATTTTCATTCTCTGAAGTTTAAAACTGTTTTGTGAACATAATGGATGTAGAGAATTACATTTCTAATAATTCAAAATTGTTCATCCTTTGTACTTTGCTACAATTTTTTTTACTATATTATAAAATCTGCTGTTGGATTGAAATGAAGGAGCTGTGATTAATTTGTAAATTGTAGACTTGCTGATAATGACATAGTGCTAACGACTTACACGCTTGTTGGGAAGGAGGTGGGAGCTGTTAACGTAGATGCTGATGCCCCAGCTAGAGATGGAGAAGAAGCAACAGAGCAGAAACCAGTAAATTTTTATATATATTCAAGGTCTGAGATTGGGGAGCATATGTGTACTTATACATACAGTAAAATTTGTGTTAATCAACCATCAATAATTTTGTAAAGTTAATTAGACAACGTCCAAATTGAAGATTGTTATAAAAAAAAATAAAGAAGTACCGATTTAAGGACTGACATTATATACTGGTATGTTCTGTCAGAAGTCCCAACATCTAGATTTAACAAGTTTCAGTATAACAAATTGAAATTTTCTTCTCTTTGTCAATGACTTTAACATTGACAGCAAAATCTGCACATATATGAATGAGATAAGGATGAATATTATAAAGTCAGGGCTTCTGTCAAGTCAATCATTTATAAAGAGTTTTTATAAAATACAAGCTTGTCACGAAGGTCATTCCCATTGGAGAGGGAGTTTATTTTACAGAAATGGTTTTATGACTTACATTTGTATTATTTTTGTTCTTGATTGGAAGATGATTTGTATGAATGAGATTTGCCTTTAATATAATGCATATATCCCCACTCTCCCTTTTTATTCATAATTTTTTACCCCTAAATATTTTCTACAATTAAATGCCAAAATCACCAACTTTCCACATTTTCAACCATTACAGTTCCAAAATTATTTCTAGTAACACTGGGGCAGTACAGATGTTGAGTAATAGTAAGTTATCATATAATTGTTAAGCATTTTAGTTTTATTTACAAGGATGCCCAAATGGATATGCCCAATGTCAAGACTGTAATTGACAAACAGGAGTTATGAAAATGTTTTTGGACCTCAAATTGTCAAGTTGTTGTCCCAACTTATAATATCTATGTTTTAAGGCATGACATCTGCGAGTATAATGATGAATTATTTGTTTCTGTGGTATTGGCATTGAAAGCGGTAAATCTGCTGCATAGAAGTCATATCTTACAAACAAAATGGTAGAAAACTACTGATATCTGTTTTGAATAAGCAGGTCTGTATAATGTTTAATATGCATTTAGCATGATGTTCAGGTTTGGGAGCAGGAAGGACAGACTGAACTACACACTGAGACAGTCATGTACATTCATCAAACTTTACTCTTTTTCTAGGAGAGCACAGGGTCCAAGACAGAAGACCCGACTTTATTGCGGATTGTTTGGGAGAGAATCATTCTGGACGAGGCCCACAACATAAAGAACAGGAAGAGTTTAACTTCAATGGCTGCCTGTCGTCTGCGTGCTCAGTTCCGCTGGACCTTGACTGGTACCCCTATACAAAATGAACTGTTAGATGTCTACTCTTTACTCAGGTAGGAAGATTGTGGCTGCCACAGTTTTGTTTTATACATGTGGTGTTTAAGATAAATATTAACAGATTCTAATTTCTTTGTATGAGAGAACAGCAGGAATAATATTTATCAAACTGTTTTCAAAATAAAGTCTTGAAGTTTTAACCTTTCAGATTTTTACGATGCTCACCTTTTGATGAATATAAAGTTTGGAAAAGACAAGTGGAATCTAGCAAAGGTACATTAACATTTAATTCAAATCCAGCAAAGGTATATTTAATTCAAATCAAGTCAGTGTACGTAAAGTATAGATTTGAAAAATTATTCAGTATAGTAAATCAGTCTTTATTAACAAAAATAAGAACAACTACTGTATGCATTCATCCACACATGTATCACTAAATTGTTATGTCCTGTGGTTTCAGCTGGTGGGAATGACAGATTGAATGTTCTCATTAAGAGCTTGTTATTGCGGAGAACAAAAGATCAGATTGATAAAGCCGGAAAACCTCTGGTAAGATTGTCCTGACAGCAGGGAAAAAAATATAGAGAGAAGATGCAAAATGGTCATGATTTATTAAAACCTATACTAAATGTACATGTACAGTAAAGCCCCAATATTCCAAATGCCAAGAATCTGTATACCTTATATACAATGTATTCTTCACCTTCTGGATGAAATTTGTGGGAATCAAAATTTACATTTACTAATTTATACTGTGAAATCACTATTTTTCATGGAGATTTAATTTTCTTTCTTTTTGTGGAATGAAGACACCCACAAATTCATGTCCTACAAGAAAGGTACAATTTCAAGTATATAACAATGCAACACTTCTTCACCCATGAAAGCAAATCCCTAAAAGCATTTTTTTTTTCTTCAAACCAGAAAATTACACCCCACGAAAATATGTGATTTTACAGTATAAAAGTTACGTTTCGGATGTTTCATTACTCTGATTATCTGGATTAATGAGGCTAGACTGTATATGGAATTTTGGGATCTTCCTGAGTAGTCTTAGGAAAATATGGATATTTTATGTGTCAAACAATAAATTCAGCTTGTCTTTTTCAGGTTTCTTTACCATCAAAGTCATCCTCTGTCCATGAAATAGAACTCTCTAAAGAAGAAAAAATGGTGTATGAGAAACTGTTTTCTCAGTCCAGGTAACTGATACTACATACCCCTTTTTCAAATACATGTACAATGTAATTTGAATTTGTATCTTAAAATCACAGTTACTGTACTAAACATTATGAAGAATTCATTTTTTTTACAACGAAAACTTTATTAACAGATCTGTGATGAAAGACTACCTGAAAAGGCACGAAGACAAGGAATTAGGGAGGGACACCCGCCCCCAGCCTTCCATAAATCCATTCAGGGATCGACCAGAGGGGGAACCAGTGGGCAGTCAGAGGGGTGGACTGGCTGTAGAAGAATCGGGACGGTCCAGCGGTCAGATGATCCTGGTTATGTTGTTGAGGTTGAGACAATGTTGCTGCCATCTTAGTCTGATGAAGGAAGTAAGAATATTACCCACAATTCACCTAAGCTAGATCCAATACAGTAAAACATGCTTATAATGAAGTGACATGTATGGACGATTTTGCTTAGTTGTAAGTGTAATTCGTTATATCTGTTAAGTTTGCGATATATTTCAAAGCCATGGGTGGCTTCGCTGTAAGGGTCAATTCGCTATAAGCAGGTAATTAAATTTACTTAGCTGTAAGGTCAATTTGCTATAAGTGTGTCCGCTATAAGTAGGTAATTTTAAAAATTACTACACCGTTAAGGGTCAAGTTTTACTGTATTTGATTATTTTTTGTTATTTTTCAAATTGACAGAAAAAAAAATTACTTTTCATTCAACATTTTTTAATACCCTGATGTTGATATACAGTAAAACTCGGTTATAAGAAAGTCACTGGGACGTCAAATTTTGTTTCCTTATTACCGAGATTCTTTATGTCCCTATATGGAACACAGTGAAAAGTCTTCTAGGGGATCTGTAAAAAGTTTCCTTATAACCGAGATTTCCTTATAAACAAGCTCTTTATTACCAAGTTTTACTGTAAAAAGTCAATCAAGGTCAATTTCTTTTTTCCCTAGTGCCCTTTGATCTTTTGATTTTGTTCTTGTAGTATATGACATGATATTCATGAGGAATCAATACAGAATTTAAAACATAACAATATTGTAATATTTTGCAGGCCTTTGATGAGGAGACTAAAGAAACAGAGGGACTAGAACTGGACATTGTTGATCAGATGAAGGACTTGATGCTAGAGACAGGGGAACCTGAAGAAAAGACCAAACTGACCAGGGATTCGCCCATATTCAACACTGCAGCCATGAGCACTAAGGTAAAACTAGAAGTCGAGGAGTCGGTTGTATCATTTTGCCGTAATTTTATTGATATTGGGGTTAATAATTTACACTTTTGTTTTTTGTTTTTTCAGCTAAAGGCTGTAATGGATAAACTCTATGAAATAAAGGAGCTACCAGACAAACAAAAAAGGTATCTATATATACCGTATATACTCGCCTATAAGTCGGTCCGCCTATAAGTCGGTTGTATTTTTTAAGCTTGTATTAGAGAGATTGACTCGCTAAAAATACCAATATTTTTATAACTCGCCTATAAGTCGGACAAAGATTTTTGGACCAAAGTTTAACTCCCAAAAAACTGACTTATAGGCGAGTATATACGGTACATATTTCTAAATTATCTTGATGAAAAATTATATGCTTAATCATAACATACAAGAACAAAAACCATAGATGGGTGTTTCGTGTTGAGAACTGGTTGGGGGGGGGGGGGGGGGGGAGGACTAGGGGAAGAGTGGTTGAGAACTATGGGAGGAGGTTGTTGGTGTGTAGATCTTTGAAGGGTTGTAGTATTTGTGATCTTTGTTTCTTGTGTTGTCAACATAAAGCCATATTGTTACTTCTGAACTAATGTACATGTACGTTATATATCTACTCCAGCATGCTAAAGGTTCACAGCGATTATACTTTTGAGTGGATGCTGAGGTATATAAGAAGTGTAAGGATATTAACTGAGGCTCTTACTTGTAGGAGTAGTTTTGTACCATATTCTACATGTTTACTCCAACATTGAAACAGTGTACAACTTTACAGATGTCTATCTTTCATTTTCAGATGAAAAATCTTACTCTACTTGTAATCATACCATAGCTGTTACTTTTCATAATGAACTGAATTGCTTATGTTGTTATTTAAAGTCATTGATGTTTCATAAGACCTTTTGTGTTTTAGTGTTGTGGTGTCTCAGTGGACAAAGATGTTAGACATTTTGGCTCATCATCTGAAGAATGCAAGAATAAAATACACTATCATCCAAGGTTCTGTATCAGCAAAGAAAAGGATGGAGGCTGTAGAGGAGTTCAACACAAATATTCATGGACCAGAGGTCATGCTGGTGTCACTCAAAGCAGGGGGTGTCGGCCTTAACCTTATTGGAGGGAATCACTTGTTTCTGATAGACCAACATTGGTAATTTCAAATTTTCTCTTACCTTTGATTGCAAAATTTAGTTTTGAAGATTCTGAAGCTTTTGAAACCATATCTGATAACCAATTGTCTTAACTAATAAAATAGTAATGCAACAAAGCAGTGTTGTGTATCATCTGATTTTTTTTTGCAAGCCATTGTAGTACATTGTATTTGTAGGAATCCTTCCTTGGAAGATCAGGCTTGTGACAGGATCTATAGGGTGGGTCAAACCAAGGATGTTTTTATACACAGGTGAACATCAATTCAGAGTTTTAAAAATAACACCCAGAGTTTTGTTTATTTCTTGAATGTGGGTCCTGTATTTGGGGTATTATACTGGTATATTTAATTGTATGTCTGTATACTGTTATTGTTTTGAATAAGTCCCAGAATTTGAAATGTTTTCATGAAGCACAAGTACAGTGGGCTAAATTCTTAGTTTACATATTTTGTTAATAATTTAGTTAACACATTCGTTCAGATTTTTTCAGTAAATTCATAAACTGCATCAACTTTTACAAACACTGATGTTAGATGTATCAGCAAACCTACTCTATAGTATAAATACAGTATGAGTATTGCAAAAAAGTTGTCAGCACTTAAGGAGGGATTCTTCTCATGTTTATATTTAAAAATTAATGAAATTTTCACAGATTGAAGAAGACAATACCACTTAGTGATAGTATCAATTACAGTCAATTGGACCGTTTATTTAAAAGGTCAAGGTCATGTCAACGTCATTATATTTTCCTTGTCATTAAGAAAAAAAAATATTGTTGCCAATCAAGTAATGCTTATTTTTTATTTAAAAGATTTAATCTTTTTCATTTTACATAAAAAGTTGATACAACAAAAGGTCTTCCAGATGATAATATCAAAACTGAGATAAACAGTTAAACTAAATAGATTTTGGGTAACCCGAATTTCCTCTATTTTTATGCCCCACCATGAATATGGCCGGGGCATATAGTGTTTGTCATGTCCGTCTTCCGTCCTTCCGTCACACTTTGCATTTAGCTCTGTTCAAAGCTCAGTTTCAAAGAAACTATCCAAGATGTTTTTATCAAACTTCATATGCTGATAGATATTGATGAGAGCTATTCAACTGCATCAACATTTTTTGACTTTGACCTTGACCTCACTTTTCTTAAATTAGTGTTTAGCTCAGTTTTTAAGATAAGATTCAAGATAGTGTAATCAAACTTCATATGTTGATACATGTATACTGATGTAAGCTATTCAACTGCATCAACATTTTTGACCTTGACCTTTTTTTTGACCTTGACCTCACTTTTCTTAAATTAGTGTTTAGCTCAGTTTTAGTGAAACCATTCAAGATATTTTTAACAAACTTAATATGCTGATACATACTGATGAGAGCTATTCAACTGCATCAAATTTTTTTGACCTTGTCCTTCCTTTGACCTTGACCTCACTTTTCTTAAATTAGTGTCAAACTTCATATGCTGATACATACTGATGAGAGCTATTCAACTGCATCAATATTTTTTCACCTTGACCTTTCCTTTGACCTTGACCTCACTTTTCTCAATTTGTGTTTAACTCACTTTTGAAGAAACCATTCAAAATATTTTTATCAAACTTCATATGCTAATACATACTGATGTAACATTTTCAACTGCATCAACATTTTTTGACCTTGACCTTTCCTTTGACCTTAACTTCATTTATTTTAAATTAGTGTTTAGCTCAGTTTTAAATAAACTATTCAAAATATTTTTATCAAACTTAATATGCTGATACGTATTTATGAGAACTATTCAACTGCATCAAAAACAATTGTCCTTGAATTTTTCTGGGACCTTGACCTCATTTTACTTAAATTTGCATTTTGCTTAATTTTAAAGAAACCATTTAAGATATATTTATATAAGCTTATGCACTTATACATAATTTGGTGAAAATTTATCATCTATATCCAACTTTTTAGATTTCACTTTCAATTTTAAAGAAACTATTCAAGATATTCTCATCAAATTTCATACACTAATACAAATTTTCATGTTGCATTACGGTGGGGCATTTATATCCTATGGACATATTTCTAGTTCTTAATTATGTTCCCCAAACGAAGTTTGGGAACATATTGTTTTTACTCTGTTTCTTATTATTATTATTATTATTCTTTTTTTCTACTTTCTTCTCCGGTACTTTTTTGTCCGGGAGTGTTCTCATAGAACCACTCATCCGATTGACATGAAACCTTTGTAGGGTTAATAGGCATGTTGTGTAGGTGTTCGGAACGAAGGTCATTTTGCGCGCACATGCATGCACGTGCGCGCGCGTGCATTGAGTGAAATGACTGATATACTTGATGAAGCCGTAACTTTTATATTTCTTGATGAATTGCTTTGAAACTCAAAATATAAAGATATATTAGTAGTCTAGACAAGATGACATGGTCAAATTAGCGTGAACTCACGCGCATGCACGTGCGCTCTTCTCTGATTGGCTGATACAAAAATCTCAATAATTTCCTTGTTTTTTGGCAAAATACTTTGAAATTTAGAATATAAGTATATATTATAAGGTGCTACAACATGTTATATAGGAAATTTCTTGAAAACATGTGCATGCAGGTGTGCTGCAATCTGATTGGTTGAAACTTTAAATGTCTATAACTCCCTTGGTTTTCAACAAAACAGGATGAAATTTATGACATGGATAGGCACATAGAACTCCTACATTATGATACTATCAAAATTGAATGCAAGGCCATGCATGCGCGTATGATGAATTCTGATTGGCTAATACTTAAATGGTCACATCTCTCTTATTTATCAATGAAATTCTTTAATATTTAAAACAAATGTATGTATTGTGAGACACTATAAGAAAATAAATGTGAAAAATGTAGAAAACATGTGCAAGCACATGCACTGAAATTTGATTGGCTAATACCCATATGGCTATATCGGAGTAGTTTTCCAATAAAATACCCTTAAAAATAAAGTGTCCATCTATATTACAAAAGTATTGTCTAATTTATTGAAGCTTGTAGGGAATGGGGCATCATAAGGGATTGGGGAGCCGTTTGGGGAACATCTGTAACGGTTCCCGTTACAATTAGCACTAGTTTTTTATGGAATATGGGTTATTTTAATATGCTTTGTATATTTGAAATTTTATTATTTTTACATGTGGTAAAGTAATCATGTAAAGGTACAAAATGATACAAAAGCCAAAAGTTTTGACCGTTTAATTAGAGAGAAAAAACAATTTTTACTGAATTTTTACTCGAATCTGTTCTTAGAATCCTTAGCTTTCAAAGGCTATAAGATTGCCATTTGTCTAGAAAATCATATTTATTTGATATATTTTAAAACTTTAGTCCATCATTATTAATTTCAGTTACTACAAAAGTTTCCTCAAGCCTTTGATTGTTTAAAAATGCCTTTTAAGTTCATTGTTCTGTAATAATTTTGAGAAGCAGAAAAGGATATATTTTCATACGCCGCCATTCTGCCAAAAATATAGTCCCTGCTAGATTTCAAAGTCAGTTTACCATTACTATTTTAAATTGTACAAATATGAAAAAGAAAGAAAGATATGATCTTTAAAATCCTCAACATCTAAATATAAAAGACATTTAAGCAAATATACTTTAAGTATTTCATTTAGTCAGAAACCGGACAAGAATCCCTCCGTAAGAAATACTGATTTTGAATTGGAGAAAATACAAGTATAAATAGCTAAAAAAATTTTTTTAGACATATATCAATGTTTTATCAAAAATAAAATTTAAGAGTGTGTGATGATTGAATTGAATAGAAAATGTGAAGTCTTCTAATTTGATAGTAGAAGCATCAGCCAATTGAAGGTCTACTAAACAGTTAGCCATAAAATCTATTTCAAATTTATTCTTTACAAAGGTAATGCAAAAGGTGCAACCTTATGTTAAATGCTTTTGGACATGTAATCCCTATTTTCGTATTTTTATGCCCCCGGATCGAAAGATCCCGGGGGTATATTGTTTTTGTCCTGTCTGTCTGTTTGTCCATTTGTCTGTTTTTCTGTCTGTCTGTTGTCAACTTTAACCTTGCCCATAACTTTTGATAGGTTGGAGCTATGACTTTCATATTTCACATGTGTATTCCTTGTGACAAGACTTTTCTTTGGGTACCATCATATTTGACCTTTTGACCTTGACCTTGGAGTTTGACCCACTTTTGCAAAATTTTTATGAGACTTTAACCTTGGCCATAACTTCTGAACAGTTGGTGCTTGGGGTTTCAAACTTCACATGTGTATTCTTTGTGACAAGGCCTTCCTTTGGATACCAACCACTTTGACCTTTTGACCTTGACCTAGGAGTTTGACCAACTTTTGAAAAACTTTAACCTTGGCCATAACTTTTGAATGGTTGGTGCTAGGGCTTTCATACTTCACATATGTAATCCTGGTGACATCACCTTGCTTTGGATACCAACCACTTTGACCCTTTGACCTTGACATAACAGTTTGACCTACTTTTGAAAAACTAACCTTGGCCATAACTTTTGAATGGTTGGTGCTAGGGCTTTCATACTTCACATATGTAATCCTTGTGACAAGACCTTCCTTTGGATACCAACCACTTTGACCCTTTGACCTTGACATAGGAGTTTGACCTACTTTCGAAAAACTTTAACCTTTGTCATAACTTTTGAATGGTTGGTGCTAGGGCTTTCATACTTCACATATGTAATCCTTGTGACAAGACCTTCCTTTGGATACCAACAACTTTGACCTTGACGTTTTACTTACTTTTTAAAAAACTTTAACCTTCGCCATAACTTTTGAACAGTTGCAGCTAGGCCTTTCAAATTTCACAGGTATATTCCTCGAGACAAGACCTTTCTTTGGGTACTAACATTTTTTATCTTTAGGCCTGGATTTTGAGTTGCATTTGAGAAACTTAAACCTTCGCCATAAGCTGCCATACGGGGGCATCAGTGTTTCACAAACACATCTTGTTTTTTTTAGCATCAAACATTGATTAGATGTTATGTAATGATAAAGAGGAAAAAGATTACATATTAATGACCATCAGAAATATCGGTACTTAAGTTACTGCTGATAATTTATGTTAAACACATTCATACAGATTCTTGTGTAAAGACACTATTGAAGAAAGGATTGTTGCACTTCAGCAGAAAAAACAAGACCTGGCAAAGAGTGTCTTGACTGGGTATGTATTTATAATTCACTTGTCATTTAAAAAAGCCTTGTTTGGAAACAAAAAAGTTTAATCTCACATGCTGAGTTGTCTCATATACAGTCAAACCTTATATCTCAAACTCGATGTGACCAAGAAAAAATTTCAAGATATCTGAGGATTAATTCAAGATATTGAATAAAATACATAGAAAATGATAAGTTGGGATTTCCAACTCACTTTGACATGCCCATGGTATTCGAAATATCATTGTCTGAGATCTGTGTCTAGTTGAACCTCGGTATCTCAAACATAAATATCTCAAATACCACGGATTAAACACCCAATTTTACGTTAATGCCCCCAAAATTTACCTAATTTGAGATCAATAATATACCGCCTGTCAATCATTAAAAAAACAATAGCTACTGATTTGATTGACAGACCAGCTACCTGTGCTACCTCATAATCTGAGTTTGCATGTTTGGAAACAATTACCTGGCCAAGCATAAAACGCTTTCATGTACCGCATGAATAGTCGCTTTCACTTTGTATGTATACACTATGATAAAAAATTCAAATTGCTATAATATTGTTTGGTAATTATATATCAAAAAATTCCTGAGAGTAGATAATTAAGCATTAATTTTTCAATCCCCATTGTTGTTTGGTACTTGTAAGCGATATGAGGTCCAAGACACTCCACTAACTGTAGAACTTTCGGAAGAAAAACTATAGCGAATATTCGAAGTTTTGTTTTAAATTGCAATTTGGAAGCGTCGTTCTATTTTTAGCAAAAATTGTTATTAAAGACAAACAGATTATAAAATACAAATCAATCTACACCATTCGATGGAAGAATGTCACAATCATTGTTCGAATTTCCTCTAATGTATATATTCGTACATTGAAAAGGGTGAAGATAACAAACAGTGATCGATCTTTTAAAAAAAGTCTACAAACAATAAAAATCTATGAACACGGACCCTGGAAATTGTAGTGGTGAATACTTTGGACATGATTGTTGGCCAGAAAAATAAAGAATATTCTGGCTGTGGTACATGTCGGATTATAATGTCACACGATAAATGAAATCTCTTTATTTCAATATTTACACTTATTGAATAATGATTTCTTTTACTGACGAGAAAAAAATATTGATATGATTGCTTTGTAGTTTTCACTCGTGATTTTATTTTTATTTCACTTTTTTCTTAAAAAAAAGATAAGATATTTCTTTATAATTTTTTTTTTCCTTCAAAAGATATCGATGAACCAATTTTATTTTATATTTAAATATAAAAATTATTTACAAAAGTTTCTCTCAAAATTAGACGAAAAGGCGTAATGTTGATCCTGATTACCAAAGACAGACTTCCTGTGTACTACAGTGTGTATAGGGATTTTTGACATCTTGAGTATTGGGGCTCTCCAAGTAAATAACACCAGTACAACTAAGACCACTCCCTCTCCCCGGGTAACGGAATGGTAAAAAAATTGGGTCTTTAAGTCAAAGTGAGTTTGAAGTCCCAAGCACTTTTTCTTCAATGTTGTATGTTAACCTCAAATATCTCAACCCCTTGGATATCTCAAAGTTTTTTCTAGGTCTTATTGAGTTTGAGATAATGAGGTTTGACTATATATATTGTGTAATGTATGAGCTGAACATATTAGGTAATTTCTTAGAGCACCTTGTCTGCAGTGTTATGTTACACAAATTTAAAATCACCAAAAGATGAACTCTCTTGAATGTACTGTATCTGAAATGACTACATAAGCACTAAAAAAAAAACAACTAAAATCTACATAAACAAGATCCTTAGATGTTGAATTCAGTTCACATTGTATTGTTAATACTAATATGATCACATTTTGTCATACATCTGATCTTGATGAACAGGTGTATTAGACCTAATCTAAGTGTCATTTTTTAGGTCACCTGAGTCACTCAGGTGACCTATTGCTATCTGTTTTCGTCCGTCGTCGTGCATCGTGTGTTAACATTTGAACATTTTCAGCTTCTTCTCTGAAACCGCTGAACCAATTTCAGCCAATTTTTGCATATGGCATCTATGTGTGAAGGGGAACAAAAATTATGAATTTCATGGTCCCTGCCCCCCTGGGGCCTGAGGGGTAGGGCTAAAACCATCAAAATTAATGCAATCTTTAAAAATCTTCTTCTTTACTCCTGGACATCAAGCAGTCAAACTGTTGACATGATTGTAATAAGCATTGAGCCCTATACCAAAATTGTGAAATTCATGGCCCCAGGGTCAGGGGTTCTGGTGCTAGGGCGGGGCTATATAGATCATATAGTGAAAGTGCATTATTTCTTTGAAAATCTTCTTCTCTACTCCTGGGTATTATTTAAACAAATTAGATACTGAGTTATGATCAGCAAGGATGACTCTACCAAAATTGTGAAATTCATGGCCCCAGGGTCAGGGGTTCTGGTGCTAGGGTGGGGCTATATAGATCGTATAGTGAAAGTGCATTATTTCTTTGAAAATCTTCTTCTCTACTCCTGGGTATTATTTAAACAAATTAGATACATAGTTATGATAAGCAAGAGTAACTCTACCAAAATTGTGAATTTCATGGCCCCAGGGTCAGGGGTTCTGGTGCTAGGGTGGGGCTATATAGATCGTATAGTGAAAGTGCATTATTTCTTTGAAAATCTTCTTCTCTGCTTCTGGGTATTATTTAAACAAACTAAGTACATTGTTATGATAAGCAAGGACACCTCTTCCAAAATTGTGAAATTCATGGCCCCAGGGACAGGGGTTCTTGTGCTAGGGTGGGGCTATATAGCTCCTACAGTGAAGGTGAATTATTTCTTTGAAAATCTTCTTCTCTGCCCCTGGGTACTATTTAAACAAACTAAGTACATTGTTATGATATGCAAGGATGCCTCTTCTAAAATTGTGAATTTCATGGCCCCAGGGTCAAGTGTTCTGGTCAAAAGGTGGGGGGGGGGGGGGCTCTATTGATTATATAGTGAAAAATCAAAATTTCTTTGAAAATATTCTTTTCTGCTTCTGGTCAAAAAGCAAAGAAGCTAAGTTTATAGTTATGATGAGCAAGAGTGCTTCTTCCAGAGTAGTGAATTACATGACCTCTGGGTCAGATGTGCTGGTATAAGGGTGGGCTGTTGATAATGTAGTGAAAATGCATTAATTCTATTAAATAATCCTGTCTGCTCCTTAATGTTAAGCAGTTAAACAAAGTGATTACTTATGATGAGCAAACTTGAAACTTCTGGTCCCAGGGTGAGAGACTCTGGTGTTTCTCGTGAAGGGGGGGGGGGGGAGGGGCTCTATTGATAATATAGTGAATCTGTAGTGAAAATGCATTATTTCTTTAAAAATCTTCTCTGCACTTGGGCATATCAGAGGCAAAAAGTGTAAAAGTTGTAATAAGGAAGGGTATTTTTACCAGATTTTTGAACATCTGGACCATTTGGTCAAGTGTTCTGGTCCTAGCCAGGGCTCAATTAATTTGCATTCTACTGAGAGGAGTTATTCCCCTTTGCCATTTACTTTTGATAATTAATCATTGTAAATAATGTACTTGAAAAATTAATAGAATAAGATAATTATGCAAGAATTGTTATTGTATAATACAAAAAGTATTTTCATAGTTTTAATGATCATGTGGACTTGTAAGTAATAGATAAATGAAAATGAGACAAAAATAACTTGTCTTATTAAATGTTCATCAAAGACCAAGAGAGGCCATTGTAAGAGATTACAACAAGGAATTAAAATAGTACAAATTTTAAAGCACTGATAGTTTGTTAATATACTGTATGGTGATAGTGATAAATGGGGAACAGATTAGAACCTAATTTATGAACTGTTAATGAATAGTAGACTAATTATTTTGTTGATCCTGATCACCCTATTTTTCTTGCTTTTGGGCAACAAAGCTTCACCTTTCATTTCATTTTAATACTCTATGGATCCTCTAAAATGTTGTACTCAGGTGACCGTTAAGGCCCTTGAGCCTCTTGTGAATTTTTTTTTTTCACAGGTCCGGAGGAGTGAGTTCCCGTTTGACCCTAGATGACCTCAGAATGCTGTTCGGAGTTTGATTTTAATCAGTGGACTTGATAGAAATGATAATTTTAGCTGATTTTTTACAATATTTATTACACAGAGCTATACCAAGGGTATATAATAATAAACAAATTTATTTAATTGATGTTTTATTTTTTTTAATTTCAATATTAGGTATTTTATGACAGAGATTGAGTATTGTTAAGTTACAAAGAACTTACAAATCCTACTACAAAGCATAATTATTGCCATTGATTAAAGAAATGATGCTTACACTCTTTTCTTTGCTGGTACTGGGGTCAGAGAGTTTAAATGAATTTCTATTAATCATGTTAATTGAAATAGGTGAAGATAATGAACAGTAACCAATCTAAAAAAAAACCTACAAACTATACAAATCTGTGTACAGGGAACCAGTTTCCCTCTTCACAGTGCGACTTAATTTTAAATATAGCATTCTATTGGAGCTGCTTCATTAAACATAATCATTGTATGTTTAAAAAATTGATTTTTCTGTTAGTAAACATGCAATCTCATAAAAACTTGATTTGAGTGCCATTTTTGTGTAAATTCATTGCGCTACATCATGCTTCCTGAAATTTGCCCAGAAAAAAAGAAGAGGCCCATGGGCCACAACACTCACCTGAATAACTACAGCCCTTCTGTTCATCAGCAGATTCCTATATAATGTTATGTAAAACTTTCATCACATATTATGGTCCCACCCTACCCACAGGGGTCATGTTTTGAACAAACTTAAATCTACACTACCTGCAGATGCTTTCATATAAATATGACTAAAAATGGCTTAGCTGTCCTTGAGAAGACATTTCCTATATATTCTTATGTATAATTTCGTTCTCCTGTTGTAGCCCCACCTACACCCAGGGGTCATGATTTGAACAATCTTGAATTTACACTATCCGAGGATGCTTCTGTATTAAAATGACTAATCATGGCTTTGCTGTTCATGAGAAGATTTTAAAGACTTCAACAATATATTCCTATGTATAACTTTGATCCCATATTGTGATGCCACCCTTCCCTGGGCGTTGTGATTTGAACAAATTTGAATCTACTCTACCTGAAAATAATTTTGAATAAATATGACCAAAAATGGCTCAGCTGTTCTTGAGAAGAAGATTTTAAAGACATTTCAAACATATTACTACGTATAATTTCGTTCCCCTGTTGTGGCCCCACCCTACCCCCAGGGGTCATGATTTGAACAATCTTAAATTTACACTATCCAAGAATGCTTCTGTAATATTATGACTAATCATGACTTTGCTGTTCGTGAGAAAAAGATTTCTCTCCAGTGTACATGATGGGAATTTTGTTCCATGGATTCCTGGAATGCGTCGTATTGCTCCATTTTTGTAAAATCTGTAAACAGAAAACAATTGATGAATGTATAGAATGAGAAGAAAATTTTATCTCTTCCATAACATTTTGAAGCTATCAAATATTTTAAGTAAAATATGCACGAGATTAAAAAAATATTTTCAAGTTTACATTGTTCAATTGACCATATGTTCAATGTATCTCCAGCATATATTGTCTTACATTTTTTAAAATTTAATTTTCACTTACCTAGTAGTAGTCTTTATGGAAGTTGATGCGACGTTGCAAAATTAGGCGACTAACCCCCATCTCTCTCTCTCTCTCTCTCTCTCTCTCTCTCTCTCTCTCTCTCTCTCCATGCGCGGATCCAGGAATTTTTTCCCAGAGGGGTTGACCCCAACTCAAAGAAATATCTGACTAGGAAATTTTTTGGCAAGCAAAAAAAAAGTGTTTGGGTAAGTACACCTTGCCCAATCTAAAAACTGAAAGGGGGTATCACTTTCCTTCTTCATATACACAATTTCCTAACCATTTTACGAGGGGTCAGTGTTTCTGGAGGGGAGGGGGGTCCAAGGTCATTTTTAGATTACCTTACATAGAAATTTAAAAACTCCCCTTTATAAATCCGCGCATGCTCTCTCTCTCTCTCTCTCTCAATTTAACTTAGTGTATATATAAATAAAAAAGATTTTTTTACTTACTGAATTCGTCTCATATGAAGTTCTTTCTCTGGCATTTTCAAGTATAATTTTCACGCATATAACTAACAAGATTTACTGCGAGATGTTATATCATCTTTTTTATCGTCAGATAGGATCGATTGATGGAAAAATTACGTTTACAGCAAAGACATTTTAAAAACTATGTATATAGATATAACAAATAAGTTAAAAAAAAACTTCGCATCTTCATTTGTTTTGTTGCTTTTGTACTGAAATTTGAAGGTCTGGTTTAACTGAATTTTGAAAACTTACCAGGACATACTGGTATGGTGAAGTCTAAATTCGTGTCTGTGAAAGGGTTTCTACTTGATTTGAGCTCCAGTATAGTAGTTAAGTCAGGGATGGAAAACAATGACAGAGACTTCTTTGTTTCAGTTAACGGTGTGTGTGTGACAATAGAGCAATCCATTCTTTGATGCAACATGTCTTTCAATCGTGTTCCACTCAGATTAAGGGGGGTTTGACATGTGGGGTGTTTCTTCCCAATATCTAAGCTCCAGTTTCTAGATATAGCAAAACTAACAAAGTCTTTTAAAAGGCAATCACAATGAAAAGGATTTTCTTTGATGGCCCTTTAATGAAAAATAAAAAAAAAAAATTGCATTTGATTTTCAATTATTAGAACTTGAAAATAACCTTTATTTTTGTTTACCAAATCTTCCGTTCTGGGTTTATTCTTGTGAAGAAAAGGAAATAGGTTACACATAAATCTTATGATACAGTTTTATGATATAAAGATCATTTCCCATGGGTATTAACTTTTCAAGATTTTTCTGATCACAAAATTCATGAAAATTATACCTCTCGCAAAATTTTTCTCTTGGACAGTATTGAAAAAAAATCGTTTGATAGTAAGATATATCTCAAATGAATGTTTGACCGTATGGATGTCAATTTGACGATCGAAAGTATATATGGTTTATTACAAAAAAATATATAAAGAAAGATACTATATATTATGTACATTTATAAAGAAGAGTCTTAAAAGATATACATTCAGATTGAGAAATGTGGTCTTGAAGGTCGTCACAAAACCGATTTGTTAAGAGACCAGCATGTATTTTTTACTTTTCTTGAATGAATTATTTCAAATTTAAAGTTTTTGAATCAACAACTGATCACAAAAAATAAATAAATAAATAAATAAAAAACAGTTAAAGATAAATTTTGACTATTTATGCTTACAGTATTTTTAAATTTGTCAGTCCCTCAAAGTTTTCCCTGTCCAATCTGCTGAAGTTGTTTTCAACCAGATATCTAAGTAATATTAAAAATTAAAATCAGTAAAGCTGAGATCATTTTGAAATGTGAATTTCAAACAAACTTTATTTCCATTCGATTAGAAAGGTGTTATTTATTTGAGCGTCATTAAAAATAGAGAGGAAAAATAACGTGTCTTTTTTTTTTCAAAGAAGATGGGCGTATTTATTTGGTGTGTGATCTGCAGGAATTATTTATAGTTTAATTCACCGTCCGCGGTTTAGTCGGCTGACCACAGCTGGACAGACCTAATTCACAAAGTTACGCACATAGGAAAATATTACCTTTATATTGAAATATCATGTCAAGTTATGCAACTTGACATGATATTTCAATATAAAGGTAATATATGAAAGCTGAAAGCTCATGTGAGCTTTTCTGATCACTCGTTGTCCCTCCGTTAGTCTGTAAACTTTTCACATTTTCAACTTCTTTTCAAGAACCACTGGACCAATTTAAACCAAAGTTGATATAAAGCATCATTGGATAAAGGAGAGTTTAACAAATTGTTAAATTGAAGGACTAAGCCCCATTCTAAGGGGAGATAATCAAGAAAAGACAAAAATAGGGTGGGTCATCTTCTCAAGAACCACTGGGCCAGAAAAGCTGAATCTTATGTGGAAGCTTCCTGATGTAGTTAAGATTGAGTCTAAATTGTTCAAATCATGGCCCCCGGGTCTAGGGTGGGCCACAATTGGGAATCAAATCTTCTCAAGAACCACTGGGCAAGAAATGTTGAAACTTGCATGGTAGCTTCCTGGGGTAGCATAGATTCTAAATTGTTCAAATCATGGTCCCCGGGGGTAGAGTGGAGCCACAATAGGGAATCAAAGTTTTACATTTAAATATTTAGGAAAAATCTTTAAAAATCTTCCAATAACCACTGCATGGGACAGAAAAGCTGAAAATTATATGGAAGCTTCCTGAGGTCGTGTAGATTCAAAATTGTTCAAATTATGACCCCGGGGGTAGGGTAGGGCCACAATAAGTATTACTAGGGGGAAATCTGGTGAAGAACAGCAGGGCCAAACGGCCTAAAGTTACTCAAGTGAGCGTGGGCCTCGTAATATTTGCTTAACTTAATATTGATGATAACAGAGTAACACTTCGCATAAATAATAAACACCTAGATAATACATAATAGGATATAGTTAAATGCAATGACATTGAAGTTCAGTACTTTGGAGGAATTGCATTCGCTCTCGGTGCAACTGAACCTACTTTACATCTATGTATTTCAAAATTTAAATAAATCAGTAAATAATTTAATTTTGATTGTATTCTAGCCTCTGATTGGTTAATATCCAAAAAGGAACATAAATTATTTCTTTATAACCTGGTTTGGTATGGGGATACACCCCCTTGACAACCAGCTGAATCATCTGTATCCATACAATCCTCTCATTTCCAGTCCTAGGGACTCATGGAAAATTCCAGATTTAATAAATGTACCTTTAATTTCAAACGATAATTCGATCTTACCACATGTAACCAAACAACATGGCTGCTAGGCCTATGTATCAGTTTTTACCTCCCCTCGATTCCCATCACTTCCGTTACTACGGTTGTATTATTAAGCGGCAAATTTGAACTAATAAAAAGCAACGAAATTTTACACCCACAGTTGTTTAATGATTTTAGAATTAAATTATAAGGAATGACTCTAATTCTTGGCCAAATTATTCGAGTATAACCTGGTTTGGGTCAGTTTACGCTGTTTTATAATCCGCTTCGCGGATTATAAAGCGTAAACTGACCCAAACCATGCAGGTTATACTCGAATAATTTGGCCAAGAA